CCCCAAAACCCCAAAACCCCAAAACCCCAAAACCCCTAAAGAAGCTCTCCAGTTTGAAATTTTATAAAAAATTTAAACATGAAACTTGTTATCCTCCTCTTGATTGTTGCTTTGACCTATGCCAACATCAGAGTGGACCTCTCACGCTTTGAAAAGTAGTTAAATCCCTTTATCTATAGAGAAAAGATTCCTTCAGAGTATCTCAGACTTATCTCAGATACAATCTCAATCGAAGACCCAAAAATCAAAGAAATTGAAGATCTTCTTGAATTCTCAACAGGCCTTGGAAACGTCCGAGTGCAACTGACCAACTTCAGAAACCTCCAATACTATGGCCCTCTCTACCTCGGCTCCAAAAGGAAGCGTCTAAACTTCGTATACGACACAGGTTCATCCTGGCTCTGGTTCCCTGGCACGAGCTGCACTGGATGTCCGACAGACTACGAATACGATCCTTCCAAGTCGGAGTTTTACACAGATTTTAACAAATCGAAGGAGTTGTTCTACGGGAAAGGGTACGTCAAAGGCAAGGTTATTCAGGACAATGTTGCCATGATGGGCATTGACTCAGAATCAGTCCCTGTTAAGATGTTAGAGGTGTTTGAGGCGAAAGATCTTGCAGGGACTCAGGCGGATGGGATTCTTGGACTGTCACCGAAGAGTAGTGATTCGGATTTACTTGTAAACAAATTAGCAGAAATGAATGTTATTGATAAAAGAGAATTTACAGTTTATATTGCTCCGCAAGAAGACACTTCATTTATAGATTTTGGAGAATACAAAGGTGACCTAACAAATATCACATGGGCAAAATTAGATAAAGATACAAATTATTGGAGTGTGCCATTTAACTATATTTCCTATATGAATGAACCGCTTTCTTTGACTAGCACCTCTGCAGTTCTCGATACAGGTACTTCAATTCTTGGATTTCCTTCCACAGACCTCGCACAAATAATTATTGGAATAAAAGGCGAGAATAAACTGTATTATTTCGAAGAGATTGGTCTTTATGGAGTTCTGTGAGAGAACTTGAGCGAATTTTATGACCTCGAGTTTAATATTAGGGGTCATATAACCAGGATTTCTTCTGATGATTACATGATCCAGGTTGGGAAATATTGTGTGTTCTTCTTATTTGACCTGGGTTCTAAATTCCCATTTGCATTATTAGGAGATTCTTACCTCAAAGGTAACTTAATAGTGCACGATATGGATAAACAGAGGGTTGGATTGTTCCCACAGAAGCTTTATCATAAGCCTAACCTGTACAAAGAATCTAACAAAATGTTGCTCTTCATAATATTAATCTCTGCTGTAGCCTTCATTGCATTGGTGGTCATCATCGTGGTAGCTTACAAGCTGTTAAAGAAATCAGCTGAGGAGGAAGAAGACTCTAGCTCAGAAAGTGAGCTAGCTGAAAGAATGATCCAGTAAAGCGAAGATTTTTGTAAAAATTACATTTCAATATATGATTCTTCAGACGGGGTTTTGGGGTTTTGGGGTTTTGGGGTTTTGGGG